TGAACATATCCTCAGGTGAGGATTTAAAAAATAATAATAATAACAACAATTGGTGTGGCCCCTAAGTTCTCTGAATGTAATAGTCAGGACTCTGCTGTCCCCTGGATTCTATGTCCTGACATGCCTGAGCCAGGCAAAGCCATAATGGCTCAAAGGAATAGTGTGTGAGCAGATAGAAATCCGATGGAGGGACAGTGAAACGGAATTCACAAATGCAAGACAGACAGTGTCAGTAGTGCAGTAATGTCAGTATGGCAGAGAAGTGGCTGTTAGTAACTATGCAGGAATAAGATTGGAAAGAATCTCCGATGAACTTTGGAGATAAATTCCGAGCCATGGGTCCCCAAACCAAAGACTCCTCCCATGAAATGCTGAAACATCGATGTCTGCAATGACATGGCATACCACTCTAAAGACAAAACACTGGGAAAATCCTAATCTCCAACAGAGTGACCTCACTTGCAGGACCCTCCTGATGAGACTTGAATAAATCCAAAAGTCAAGCTTTGAATATAGGAGGTATTGAGACTTAACATTGTGATTATAAGTGATTCCTTAATAGAATTTGGAGACCAGACTTTGGGTCCACGGAACTTTCCCAGGTCCCTAAAGTGACACAGTGCCATCAGTCTGCCCATAGCCAAGGCACGATTTCCCATGGACTTCTCTACGTGACAAGTGGCTGAGAGAATCTGCCAGGGGTCAAAGGTTTTACGACACTGTACTCTGAACCAGCTTTTGTTCCCTCAGATCCAAACTCCTTCAGAGTCTGTGGATCAATGGAGTACATCAGGCCACACAGAGGCACCACATGGTACTGAATTTCAGGGGATTTAACTTATCTGTACATGTCACTTGTGAAAAGGCTTTTTCCAAGCCTTTTAGCTGAGTCAAGGACACCAAAACACCAGTTAAAGAAAGAATGATACAAAGAGGCTTTAGCACAGACGTTGGGTGTTTGTGACCAGGCCTGAATTGTTTCACAAGCCCTGGCCTAATTTCCACAAAGCTTTCAACACTGAGGATGAAAGGCATTCCGGAGCCCAAAAGGATTCTGTCCTCACCCAGTGCTGGACTGTCAGTGGCAAGGCCAGCTGTCTGCCGACTGCTGACAGGCTTAGGGAAGAGCCCTTTCATGCCATTAACACTCTGTGAACAGCCACCCGTGGAAAGAATATCAGCTGTTTCCATAAAGAAATACAAATAATTATTTTACTTTTAGGTTCCCCAGAATGAGAGGGCTCTTGAATGATGGCAAAGAGGCAAATGAGAGTAGGTGTCCCCTAATATCAGGCTGGTTGATGCGAGCAGAAGACAGCAGTTGTGGTGGGGAACTGCAGCTTAAATACCTGGGGAGCTTTACACAAAGATCCAGTGCCGATTTGAGGGCTGGGCCAGGACCAGACAGCAGGGGCCAGGGCTAGATGCAGCTGATGAGTGTCCAGTGGTGCTGGGCCTGGCCTGGTCCTCCTGGGATTTTCTTCAGAAATGCTCAGGTGAAAGAGGAGAAGGGAGATTGTAGTGATGGCCTGGAGAACAAGGTCTCTGATAGCCAAGGAGTGGTAAGAGACCGTGTGTGTGTGTGTGTGTGTGTGTGTGTGTGTGTGTGTGTGTGTTTAAAGGCTAAATGGCAGATTCCTGAGTGAAGAGTTTGTACACTGGGCCCAGGAACAGACTAACAGATAGGGTAAAGTGGCAGATGTTGAATCCTTGCAGACTTCAGGCTTGAGGGAATTGAAAAAAAAGAGAAGCAACAAGAAAGAAAGGTGGGGTCCCAGGTGCCCTTGGGATCCAGTGCTCATTTAACATAGTGGTTGGTATCGAAACTTTTCTAGCAAATGCCAATAGTTTGATAGCTTTGAAGAGCCTTGGAAGTGAATCAGTCACAGTCACACCTTTTGAAGTTCCTGTGAGAATTCCTCCCTCACTCCTCATCTGCTCTCTCCTTCCTCACACAAGCTGCCTTCCGTGTACGGACTGGACCTGTTAGCCACACAGAACCGTGTTTCAGACATCTTATGTAACACTTGTAACACTTTTCCAAATCTCCCATGCCTTACATGGCCTTTGGCCTTTGGGCTCTGGCCTTTGTCTATTCCTCACTTTCATCTACATTTACCCTTGGCATAGCGCTTCTCGACCTTTTGGCTAAGATCAAGTGTATATTTGCCCTTGGCATAAACTACCATTTGCTCCCGCCCCCTACCCCCTTTCTGCCCCACCTTTACCCCCAGCTTCTTTTTTGTCCCCACCTCTTTCCTCCTTCTTGCTCTCTTGGTGTTATATATTGTTTTAGCACTTCGTAGCCCATTGATACACAGCTGTTCTTTTCAAGCTAGCTCTCTTTGCTTCATGATGGGACATGAATGTCAAGTCCAGACCCCTTAGCCTGGCACAGTGAAGGTGACTGGCTTCTCTAGGCTTACCTGTTAGCCCCCACATCCCAGACAGGCAGCCTCAAAAGGCCTAAAAAGGCAGTGGGGGCTCGGTCTTCCTCCCCTCCCTGTAGTCTCACTGGCTGTACGCCTTCCTGCTCTTGGATTTTGAAGAGTCTGACTCATCACTCCAAGTGAGTCCTCAAACAGTCCTGGTCTGACTTCAGCCTGATTCAGACTCCTCTGTTCTCTCCAAAAGGGAGTTCGTGACCTGTGGGAGTTCAGGACTAAGGACTGCCTGGAACCTTGTGGGCTTTCTGGACATGGTCTTGCATCCACTGCAGCCACTCAGGGCCTCTTAGAGTTCCTCCTGCCCAGGTGGCCAGTGATGAAAGGGGCTTACACACATATACGTCCCAGATTGTAATTCTGGGATTGAGCCCCAACAATGTATAAACTATTGGCCAAAAAACAAGTTAATCTATAATTGTCCAAGAAGTGTACCTAAAAAGCATTTAGTCTTTCATTTTCACTCATGGCTATAGAGAGAGAGTTTGGTTTGATCCAAGGTGATCAGAATCTGTATAAAATCAGAAGAGAAAGGTGTTCCCATAATTACGATATGTTAGAGGAAGTCCAAAAACCATCTTAGATACAGTGAGTTCATCTTGCAGAGTTGTGGTTGAACTCCAGCTGCCTTAGCTCAAGTCATCTCAGGAATTTACCCAGCAGGTATAGACTCAGGATAGGATTCAAGAGGAAGCCTGAACCTGAATGAACAAGGCAAGGTATTTTGAATGTTTTGCATCAGCTTTTTGTAGATATTTTGGCTCCAGTGGCCTGTACATGATTTACCTGGCTGTGACTTGGCCCAAACTCCTTGAAAAGTTTTTCTGTTTTGTTTTGTTTTGCATTTCTGTCCTGTACACTTTTTGGACGCTCTGCCAGCAGGGGGCACTGCTACTGCTGAGTGCTTGTAGGGGCTGCCTAAGAATACCAGGTACAGGGATCTTTCCTGCTTAGGCAAGATGAAGGTAAGTGTGGGTTAGTAAAATGGGAGCCTACTACTCAGAGTGAGGTGCAATTATCTATTTTTCATCTTTATACAAAATTCTGCATACTGTATATACATGTAATTCATTCTCATGACAATCGCAGCAGTCATTTTTTAGATTGAACTGCCCAGACAGCAGATCTACAAAGGCAGAAGATAGCAGGAGATGAAAGAAACTGGAAAATGACTCTGTGTGCCTGAGCAGGGGTTGGAAGAAAAGCAGTGGGCATAAGAGGACACAGATTTTTCTTCATTCGACTAGTAAACAACCTGATAACTTGACTGCATCTGTTCTTTTTAAGCAACCCTCCCGAGACTAGGAAAGCAGGGCTGATCATATCCTGTGATTTAGCAGGAAGCAGTATAATCCCTGGTTTACAAAACAAGAAATGGTTTTAACATGAGAGAGACCAACAGCACAAAGATTCCAAATCTGTGCAGGAACAACTAGCTCCTGGATGAAAAATGTACATAAATGCTTAGGAGAGTAGTCTTCCATCAGGGACTGGCTCCCAGGCCACTGTGCTGAGAGAAACTCAGAGGACTGGGTTTCTTGTATTTATGCAGATGGCACTTTCAGCTTTGACATTCTCTCTGCCTTACTGCCTTCTTCAGAGCTACTCGTAGGTTCATGACAGCATCATAAGGTGTGAGAATATTACGCACGCACAGTAATAATCCACGTGAACGGAGGGGTTGGCTGCAGTTTATTGTCTCAGTGGATGGGCTGTGTTCTAAATGCATTAACATCAGAGCCTGCTTGTGAAGTAATGAGTAAGAGCTAAGGTTTTTTTGTATTCTTACTAATTTGTAACTGTTTTTAAATGAAGGGAAGGCATGACCAGAAGAATCACCTGTGTGTGTTCTCTGAGACAGCACAGGGTGGGGAGGAAAGGCCAGACCTTCCATGAGACCTCACGTCATGCAGATTTGCAATTAGACTGAGCTGGGTTCAAGATGGTCACCGTTGAACACCGCTCAGGACATTGTAAGCAACAATGTTCTTGTAAATAGTCAACCAAGCCAGTAAGAAAATGTCTTCCAGAGCTTGCTGTGAGGTATTTAAGATAGTAAATTTATAGGGAATTCTAAAATTTGCTCCCCAAGCTACAATCTATGTTGTCTTGTTTATCTTGACTAGGCTCTCTCTCTCTCTCTCTCAAACACACACACACACACACACACACACACACACACACACAGTCCCCCTGGAATGTATCACCATCATCCCCACCCCCTTTCTTGCTTCAGATTCCACAAACTAGCCAGGTACCTAACTTAAGAGCTAGAGCACCTGGGTCTAATAAACAGATAAACAGCTGTAATTGTTCTTCTCTTTAATCTTTATTTGCTACTTTCATTCCTTTAGCCCACCAATGCAAATTGTGGAGGACAGCAATAAGCCACGTGTGAAGTGGGGCGTGCCAGCTGGCTGAGGGATGCTAACTGGGGCATGGCAGAGGTAACAGCGGGCATCGGCCCCTGGGCTGGGAAGCAGACTGCACAGCTGGGGAGCCCGGTAAGGAAGGCCACCTTCCACAGTAGTTTGGTTTTTAAAACATGAAGCAAAGTTGCATTCTTTGTCCCTTTTTTCTTTAATAACAAAAAACCCCCAAACCTTCTATAACTTATAAGCTATTTTTGCTATCTACAGTAATATTTTTATAGAAAATATAGACTCTGTTTACTTTATAACACACATCTTTCCCCTTGATAAATAATTCTTTAAAATATCTAGTATACATGCCTTGACTTTTTATACATAAGTTTGGTTTTATATATATATACATACATATATACTCAGCTTCTTTTAAAATCAACTTTCTAAGTTGATTTTGATTGTAGGTGATGCAGCAAACTACAGAGTTGGGGATATTCAAAATGTCATTGGCCGATTATCATAGATGGCCTTGGAGTTTTCTCTCGGTGGTGTGATGGTGTGAGTAGAACAGGAAAATGTCTTTCTTCTCTTCACTCAGGGACTGGGGCTTTTAAGTTCTTTTTGTGTGTGTGACTCAAAATTCAGCAATACATTGCATTTTTACTTTTCACCCTCTTAATTCTCTTCATCTGGTCTCATAGTCACAGCTGGTGTACTTGACCTGGGTTTAAATTAGGTTTCTGATTCCGTAACCTTTATTCTGGTGGTGGTGGTGGGGGGGGGGGGATTCAGAATTGCTAATAACATCCGGGGTGAACATAAATCCAGTTGCATCTTAAAGGACTTCTGTCCCCAATATACTTAGTTCCTTTATTTCATATCCCCCACCTCGCACCAAGGTTAAGTGATGGCCCAAGGTCACACTGATTTTTAGTGGCAAACCCAGACTAGAAGCCAAGTGTTCTGTCTGTAAGTCAGTCACATCCTGCTTCACACAGCACCTTCACAGCTCTCAGACGGGAAGAGGAAGGCTCGGAGGGGTGAAACGATTTGTCTGAGGTCCCATGGCTACTCGGTGGAAGAGCTGCAGTTAGAACTCAGACAAGCAAATCGACTGTTATTCCCTGAGTTGTTGGGGCTGAATCAATTTTCTAGAAACTCATTTGTCTTGAATGTACTCATAAAAGCTAGCTGTTTAAAACCTCCCATTGTGATTGTAATGTGAACAGTTAGCTCTAATTTGTATGGTATTTGGCAAGGGCAGGGACATAAATTCAGATGTGAGCCTTTGGGATTTCCTGAGGCCAGTTCTACTTACACCCCCGCCCCCACCTCTTCTAGATACAGATCTGGCTTAGGACTCCCGCTCTACCCACTGGTGACTTTTTTTGGGCCATCAAAGCCCTGAAATTTATGGGACAAAGGTTATGACATCAGGGAGTTTGTTTTAAAAAACTATCAAAGCCCCACATTTCAATTTCCTTTTGAGAACAGGGAGGGGAACGAAAGAAAAGCTGTGTGCATCTGCAGTGTGGCTTTGTGTCTTTACCAGCAGCTGGCATTCCCGCCCTAGGCGGGGAAGTGGGCACATGGGGGACACTGGGTTTCAGGGCACAGCCCTGACCAAGTCAGGCTCCCAGGACTTTTCACAAGACAAGGCCCCCCATGCCACTCCCACTCCCACCTCCATGTGCTGCGGTAAGAGGCGATGGCCTCAAGTGCTCACACTGGAGTCTGGAGGTGCGGCCAGCACCATATCTGAGTGACCACATCAGTTAACAATGGAAAGTAGTGGCCCACCGACCTTTTCTTCCCCCGCATCACAGTCCCCATTTGCTGGAGCCCCTGGGAGAACCACTGAAGCATCTGCTCTCGGGCTACTAAAGCATTGCACTACTGAATACTTTCAGATCTGTTGCCTTCTTTTCTGTTTACACCAGCAGTGAGTAACAAGAGGAATACACCTGAGGAATGACAAAACCATGTCCTATGCAATGACTCTATCTATGCTTAGTGTGGCAATCAAAAGCTTAACAGGGCAGGTGGCCAGGGCCACTACAGAAAAAGTGCAGTGTCACGCTGTCTCTGCTTAATGGTTGTGTGACTCTGGGCAAGTTACTCTTCCTTATGAGCCTTGATTATCTCATGTGTAAAATGGGAATAACAATATCCAATACTAAAGGGTTGTTTTTTTGGATTAAATGAGATAATGTACTTAAAACACTCTGCACACAATGGATATCAAGAAATATTGGAGCACCCTGGCTGGTGTGGCTCAGTGGACTGGGTGCCAGACTGCAAACCAAAGGGTCGCTGCTTTGATTTCCAGTCAGGGCACATGACTGGGTTGCAGGCCAGGTCTCCAGTAGGGGATAGGGGGCACTCAAGTGGCAACTACACATTAATGTTTACCTCTCTTTCTCCCTCCCTTCCCCTCTCTAAAAATAAATAAAATCTTAAAAAAAAAAGAAATGTTGGCGCACACAGAGTACTGGGATGGCTCTCTGCAGAGGGAAAAAGGCTCTGGGAGAAGTTCATCTTGAGTTGGAGTTAGCCAAGACTACTGTTGGGGTCCAGATGCACAAAGGTATCTGCTGCCAGGCCAGCTAAGAGGTGTCTGCAGTTGCCTGCTACGCCTCTCCCGTTAAAGGGCGAAATCATGGAAAAGCTGATAGTGGCCATGGACTCTCTTCAGAGGAAAACACAGAGTATCCAAATAAGCCCAGAGCATGCCCATACACTGTGGGTGCCATGTAAGAGCCCCTGGCCTACCTCCTCTCTCAGAATTTGGAATTTTGGACATCTGCAGAAGCAACCAGTGGCATGAGCCAAAAAAAACCAGTGGCATGAGCCAAAATTTCCAGTAGCAGAGGCACCTGCATGAGGATGGTAATGAATCAGACACAGGCAACTAAATGTGATGACCCTAAAGTGGTGCCTCCATTACACCAGCTCCTTAGGACACATTAAACAAAGCTGAAAGAGCAGGGTTATCACTGGGACATAGCCTTGGTCAAAGTCAGCTGATGGTACCCAAAGCCCTGAGGGCACTAACAGGTGTTAAACTTGGTCTCAGCAAGCTCTGTTGAAAGCTTGAGATTTTACCTTGTATTGCAATTAAGTCTCTGCAAGTGGTACGAAAGGAGCAAAAAGATCACTAAAGAAGTATCTTAAATCCATTTACTATTATTTTTGTATTAAAAACATGTACTACCTTGGTCTTTTCATTTTCATTCCTGCATCTACCTACTATGTGCATGAGTACACAACTACTTTTCATGCTTTTTAAAAGAATATATATTTTTCCTATATACTCTAGTCTCAAATAAGAATTTTTACTTAAGATACCGAGTATCACAGAGCTCAAAGGTCTTTGGGGTGGAGAGACCTCCCAAGTGTTTGGTTAAGTACAGAAACTTAAATCTGAAACCCCAGGGGAATCCCTACTCAGATTATAAATGACTTAGAAAAATGAGACCCAGGGAGTCATCCAGTTTCCTTTTCTTTCATCATTAATCACAGCCTTTCAAGGCTAGCTAGGAAAAAAAAAGTCATTCCACTCAGTTTCCGCAAAAGCTATCCAAAGGGCAATTAGAAGAACCTGAACCAAAACAGTCTAGGGCATGACCCTCTGCTCAAACTATTACTGGGAGACTTCCATTCCATCAAATCTCTAGTTTTGAACTGATAGCTACAAAAGCTTGACATGTCATCATGAAGTCTGAAAAACTGATCAGGGACTAGAACGTAGCATGCAGAGTTCCAGCTGACCAAGCTTACCATGTTGCAGTAAGGCCCCCAAAGTAGGGTGATTGTGTCCTGGAAGGTGATTCTTACTCCTCGGTGCTAGAAAATGACCACCATTCCCATGGTGTTTGGACACCCACAATGCACCTGTGGGCAGCCTGACCAATGTACAATTTCATAGTATATTGGCCCTGGGAGGAGAATAGAGGATCAACTGATTGTACTGTTGGTTTTCAGATTCTGCCTGCTTGGAGCCAGGGGTGAACTCTCGGCCCCTTAAATTCCCCTCTAGTTCTACTGCCAGTCATCTGAAAAGTAGTCTCAGCCTCAGTTGTGTGAGCTGTGAACAAAAGTCATGCAGATTTCCAAGTACTACTTTCTACACCCAACCTTAACAAATGTCTTCTACGGGATGCAGGATTAAGAAAGATAATTCCCTATTTTCAAAATGTGTTTGGCTTGGTCCTTCTTTCGAAACCAGCCCTGAATTTTTAAGAGTGATTTTAGTGACATTTGGTGGCAATGAGCATTTACAAGCCCGTGTGTGTGTGTGTCCAGGTTGTTCCCTTTTGGCACTGCCTGCTCTGTGCCTGCGGTTTGCCATCTCCAGTAAAAGCTCTGAAGGCAGAGGGTGAGAAGACAAAAGAGACGAGAGACCAAGGAGTAGAAGAATGTGTTTTTCCCAACATTAGCTTCTCAATCCCCCATGAAAATACAGCTGAGAGGGCTCTAAAACCCTATTTTAGAAACACTGAAAATTATGTTCCTTGTCCTTTTGTTTTGTTTAATACCTATTAAATTTTTTTAGGTATCTGAATCATCATGGCAAAGGAAAAGGGCCTTGATTTTTTTTTAAGGGAAAAGGACTACATGCAAGTAGAACTGAAGACTTCCCTTTTATATCCACAAAGCTGCATGAAACACCTAAAGCCCTGCCCTTGCTTGGTAGGGGGCATGGGTGTCAGAGCACAAATCAAGCCCAGGGCTGGCTCACTTTCCCCTCCTCTGGGGAACTCCCACCGCAGCACTGTGGCACATAGCTGTGCCCAGTTCTTGAGGGCAGCGTATGAGCTTGTAGTCAGACAGACCCACACCTCCTGCTGTCTCTTTGGCGCTACCCATGGAGCCAGGTGAGAGAACAACCTCAACACTTCAGTACTGAATCCTTCTTATGCTCAACTCTGCTCCCCCAGAAGAAGTATTACCAGATGGCTTCTTGTAGTTTTTTAATTGCTCATAAATTCAGAAGAATATGTCATTCTCTGCCTCATCTGTTTCCATGCAGGGTATGTTCTTGCTTCCTCCTTTTGCCTTAAAGTACCCATCTCTCTGCTGGCCATTCCTGGCACTCCCTTGCCCCACCTCAGGCCAGGTGAAGGGCAGTGGACCAATTAGGAAGACACTCCCTCCTGCTTCCTAGGAGGAAGACCAATTAGTTGAGAAAGCTGTACACTTTACTACCAAGTACTTTTTCCTGCAGACACTTAAAGTGGCTTCCTGGAACTTGAATTTTCTCATTAGTCCATTGCACCCCCACCTTCCCCAGACTAACAGGCTTGTGTGGACATGTGAGGATGTGCCTTCTGCCAGTTTGAGGGGACTAGGGAGGAGGGAGAGTCTGCGAGAACTAAGCTTGATCTCACAGGAGCATTTGGCTTGCAAAAGAGGCCAAGGTGTGGGGAGTGGATGAGACAAGGAGGAAAGCCTCCCTCCTTGCTTCTCTACCTCTCATGCAAATGCCCAGGGATGACCTCAGAAAAGGCAGGCCCTCTGAACACTCTCAAACTATTTACTCAGCATCCTAACAGTCTTGTTTGGGGCCCCTCACCTGGGCTGCGGTTCACCTTCCCACAGGCCATTTATTCCCATTGCCCCTCCACCTCACCCTACTCCAGGAGGCCACCTCTCCCCAATGGTTTCCCCAACTCTGGGCTGCACACAGAAGGTCTAAGTCCTCCTAAGTTCCCAGACCATGCTAACAGTACAGGGACATCCTGCTCCTGCGCATGGCCTCACTGATCAGGTAGGCGGGGCTCAGTTCCGGCTCCTCAGTCATAATGGCAATGTTCTGCCACTCGCCGGTCTGGCTGGACCTCTTGATGGTGTCTACCACACACAGGGCATACAGGCAGTCGTCAAAGGTGGCGGCCATGGTGAGTGGCCGTCCATCCCATGTGCGTCGGTCGTCCTGGTCCTGGAAGGCCTGGCGCACCGCCTGCATCATCTTGATGGTGCCACGCAGGTAGGGCGAGGGGATGTCGCTGAAGGCCTTCTCAGGAAGTAGGGAGTTACTGACAGGTGTGGAGTCCTGCAGAAGCAGCTCCTGCTCCGGGGCGCTATTGCGTTGCCCGTACAGGTCCGTGCCCACCGCCAGCAGGCGCCCGGCTGAGCCCACCACAGTCACATCCTGCTTGAACTCACCTGGCACGTTGAAGTTGAGGGTGACGGTGCAGCACACCCCACCCTCCAGCACCATCTGGAAGGTGCAGAAGTCGTCGCTGGTGATCTGCCTGATGCCCTTTATGTGGTCCGTCTGCTTCACAAAGGTCTTGAGCAGTCCGTGGACCTTGACAGCCTTCTGGCCAGTAAGGAAGGTGAGCAGGTCGATGATGTAGGTGCCCACCGAGTGCAGGCCGCCTCCGCCCATCAGGTCGTCGCAGCTCCAGTTGTACTTCTTGCCTAGCAGGCTGCCGCTGTGCACCTGCACCTCGCACACCAGCAGCTCGCCCACGTAACCCTCCTCAATAAGCTGCTTCATGCGCACGAAGGCTGGCAGGAAACGCAGCACGTTGCCCATGATGCTCATGAGCTTGGGGTAGTAGTGGGCCGCAGACATCATGCGGAAGGCGTCCAGTGGCGTGGCAGTGCGGTCACAGATGACGTTCTTGCCAATGCCTGCGGGCCGGAGAAAAAACAGCTGATCAGGGTGCTGGGTGGGGAGCGAGCGGTAGGGGGCGCTGTGCCCCCCGGACGTTAAGTCTTAGACTGGGAACCAGATCATATTGGGTATCCTTAAAAAGATTTTATAATACCTTTTATTTATGCAAAAATAATATATTCCATGTATTTCAATGTCCTCTATATAGTCAATTATTAAATAAGTAAATTACTTAATTTTAGTATTAAACCATCAGCATTGCTCAGAAAACTAAAAATGGATCTGCCTTTTGACCCAGCAATTCCACTGCCAGGATTACATCCTAAGAACCCTGAAACACCAATCCAAAAGAACCTTTGCACCCCAATGTTCATAGCAGCACAATTTACAATAGCTAAGTGCTAGAAGCAACCTAGATGCCCATCAGTAAATGAATGGATCAAAAAACTATGGTGCATTTACACAATGGAATTCTATTCAGCAGAAAGAAAGAAGGAACTCCTACCCTTTGCAACAGCTTGGATGGAGCTGGAAAGCATTATGCTAAGCGAAATAAACCAGGCGGTGAGGGACAAATACTATATGATCTCACTTTTAACAGGAACCTAAACAACAAAACAAAGAACAAGCAAAATATAGTCAAAGACACTGAAATAGAGGACAGGCTGACAGTGACCAGAGGGGAGAGGGGAGGGAATTTCAGGGGAGAATGGGAAGGGTTTACAGGAACAAATTTAAAGGACACATGGACAAAAACTAGGGGGCGTGGTAATGGGAGGGAAGTGGAGAGGGATGGGTGGGTGGGCTGGAATGGGAGTAAAAGGCAGAAAACTGTACTTGAACAATGATTAAAATAAAATAAAAAAAATAATCTATTTCTGTATGAAAATTACTACAAAAAAACCCCATCAGCATTGATATGAATACTGATTTTAATATTTTAATAGCCTATATTTTAGAAATCTTTCAAAATATTTAAAATGTTTAAAATATAAAAATACCTTATTTAATGTTTTATGTATATAAGTCTATAATATGTTATATACAAATGTTACTTATAAAATAAAATATATTCAAAATATTTAAATATAAAATGAGTTCTATTAAAGTATGCAATATAACCTTTTTACATATAACATGTTTTATTAAAATTATGTTACATATGAAATGCTTTAAGTTTTATCTTTTATGTAAAATAAAATTTTATTTAAAATGTATTATTAAAAATATCATATGTAGAGAAAAGAATAGTGTCTCTAGCTGGACAAAACCAGATCATATAAGCTTAAGTCAAGGCTGAGGTCAATCTGATTAAGTATGAGGAAAAATTTCCTAATGATATTTTTCAAAGGCCTAAGTTTTTAAAGAGGCGAAAGATTTATACGATCTGAAGAGAAACCAGAGTATGAAAAGGCCTAAGCTTTTAGCTGTCTCCCCCACAGCTACCAACAAAGGATTATATTTTGAGTGTTATCTTGCTTGCTTACTTTGCATTATGGACCAGGGCAAGCAGTGATCACAGGTATGTTAAATGTTTTCTGCCTCCTTATGGGAAGAGCAGATATTATCTGAGGTGTGGACAGTGCCAGTTCCTCCAAGACTGCCATCTGTCTCACAGTGAGGTTTAGTTAGTGCTTTTGGCCAATGGAGTTGAGGACGAATAAGAATTAGGGTTATGTGATGACCATAATGAGTGCAAAAATTACAGGTAAATGCAAGCCCTTGAGGACACTAGGTGGTTTGGGGTGTGGGAAAAGTAGAGGGCCAGAAAAAAGGGGAGTGACAGAGAAGGAGAAAGGGACTTATTCCACAGAAGCCAGAGTCAAGGAAGAGAATCAACTCAGTTGAACCTGGAGAAAGAGCCAAGTGGAATTCAAAATAACAGAACAACAACAATAACAGAATTATATGAATTTTGTTAGCAAGCCAGACTAAAGGATGCTAGGTAAAAAGATCTGGAGAGCTTCTTAGTCAAGACACATGCCTGCCTGTGGCAGGGCTCTGTTGTCCAGTCATGCTCTGCACACAGACCCTCTAAAGGGTACCTGAACACTCCAGCCACAGACACGGGAGATACCGCATGAGCTATGGGATGATGACACACATAACCCCATCCAGCTGTCCAGACCATGTATGCCTAACTTGACAAAATCCATGGCATCCAACAAGCTGAGCTGAGCTAGGGTCCTGTGGAAGTCCAGTAATTGTAGGTTTCTGTCTAGTGTGGACACCTGGACAAGGCCACAGCCCAACACATGGCTCTCTCACTTTTCCATTGGAAGAACTAGTCCAGCAGCAGACATGGTCAGAACAGATTGTAGAAAATAAATAAAGTCAGTGGGTATCAATTTCCACATGCACATCTAATCCTGGCCCTGAGTGAAAGGTCTGGAGGCTACACAGCGACCACATCCTTGCTTTTCTGCATCTCCTGACCATGAATGAGCAATAAGAAGCACCTTTAACTTTTAGCAACCAGGTTCCAGCAGCGGGATGAGGAAACACCGGTGTAGATTACCAGAAGGGCCATGCACCTGCATAACCCAATGTTCTGATAATATGATCCTGTAGGCATTAGGCTCATGTAGCACCAGCTCATGCGGGCAGGAGCAGATTTACATGTAAATGAACTGGTAGGTCACTGCAGGGACAGGTGACAAATGCTGCCCAAATCTGCCTCATACCTTTTGGGTACAGGCTGTGGCCTTTCCTATACTCTGTACCTCAAGGTACCCCAAACTGGGACCCTTGACTGCCATCTTCCTGCTACACTATATCGGTCATATTAATGGCACATAAAAATTTTTATTTTTTTTGCTATAAAAACTATAAAATAAAATAGTAAGAGAAATAAATTGCGAAATTTCATTCATTCCCTCCCCCAAACAATCAATGAATGGATAATTCATTGCAGTGCTATAGGTGAGAAGATTCTGATGAAAGCTGGACTCCCTCTCCAGAATATGCAATATGAACATATGAGCAAAACTCTGCCCCATTCTGAGCTCACACATGGCTCCCCCAAGGTTCTCTTCCTTTAGGCTCTTTGTGCACATTGTGATTTCACACTATGCAATAAGTTCCTGGAGGATAAAGGCTGGGTCTTCTAGATGCCCACAGCATCTACAGTGGGGTTGCATGTTTTGCAAGGAACCCAGTGAGCGTTGTTGATGCCAATGCCAGGCCCTACCTCTCTACCCACAGTCTTTTATGAGTCTACACTTTACAGATAGGTCTCAGCAACATCTTAATTTACAATCTTCAAAAGTCAAAACAGACTTCTAGGAATCCATCATAAAGAAATAATCTAAAATGTAAGCACAGCTTCTCACCCAGAGATGCTTCTCATGCATTATTTATTAAAGCAAAAAGCTGGGAACAATGCAAATGCCCAGTGCTAGAAGAATTGGTAAGTACACTGTAGTACAGACATATAATGGAATATTGTGCAGCCACTGAAAATGATGCTTATAAAGACTTTTTAATGGCAAGCAAGATGTTTATGATGTAATGTTAAGTGAAAAGGGCTCTATTCATAGACATACAATGATCTCAACTCTTTTTTTAATTTTTAAAAATTGATTTGAGAGAGAGAAAAACATCAAGTTGTTGTTCTGCTTTATTTATGCATGCATTCATTGGTTAATTCTTGTATGTGCCCTGACCAGGGATCGAACCTGTGACCTTGATGAATCTGGACAATGCTGTAACCAACAGAGCTATCTGGCCAGGGCCTCAAGTCTCTGTTAAAAAAAAAAAAGAAAAGAAAAATCCTGGATGGAACTACCTCAAAATATTTACAGTGGTTAACTGATTTGTAAGATTATAACTGATTTTTATTTTCTTCATGACATCTTTCTATATTTTCTAAGTGATTACCTTTATGTTTAGAAAAAAAACAATTTTTCTTTGGTAAGCCCAAAGGAGACATGAAGACCTTTGAAGGACAGGAGGGCTGGCCCTCCAAAGCCCAGGATGGGCAAGCATGTCCCAGAGCTAACGGACCGGTCCTGATACCTGTGCCCCAGCAGGCATGTGAAAGCACCATGGACCCCGAACGTAGGATGTTTCAGAGGCTCAGGCTTCATTGACAGGTCTTCTGCTCCAATTCCTCAGGACCTCTTCATGATCCTGGTGAAAGCTATGGTTTCTCTCCAGAAGATGCAGCTCAAACATACATACAAAATTTTATCCACATCCCAAGCCCATGTACATCCCCCACCCCCAGGTTCTGGGGAACAGGAATCTCCACCAAAAAGTTTGGATAACTTCTTGAGACCTTTATGATACAGTGTTAAAAACAGGATAATGCTTCCAGTTTTAAAAGGACCCAAAATGTAAAGCTAGCAGACCCTTCAGAGACTTGTAAAGTAGAGTTTGTTTTCTCTCTGTTCCGGACAGTCTTACCCCAACCCCACCTCTCAGCCAGACTTCTGTAAAGCCCACTCTGGAACACCCCAAATACTTAGATTCTCTTTCCCAGCTTTTTGCCACCCAAATTTGCCCTACCAAAATCCCAAGGTTTTCAGAAGTTTAATAAGAATCAAGGGCTTAGACTAAAAAAAAATTGCAATTCTATTTTTGTCACTGTTGTTCTTTGCTTGTTTATATGTTTTATTTTAGCTTTGTCAAGGTATAATTGACATAGAATTATAAGACATTTAAGACATACACTGTGGAAGGATCCCCCATCTACTTAATGAACACATCCATCACCCCTCGTATTTATCTTTTGTGTGTGAGAACATTTAAGTTTTACACCCTTAGCCAATTTCAATTACACAGTACAGTATAATCCACTACAATTACTGTGTTTAACCATTTAATTGTAGACTTCCAGTCATCAGACACTGTGTGTGTGCAGGTGTGTGTATAGGTGCACTAGTGCAGTGCAGAGCATTTCCCTTACCCCGAAAGTCACATGCAATGTCAATGGGAACTTGCATTGTCAGAGGCAGAGGGTTGACATACCCTACAATCCTGGGTGTGTCAGATGCCATTGAATATACACTGAATT